TATACTATAAATCAATTAAGTAATGTTATAAAATTATAATTAATTAAGTAATCATTTAACTATAATGTAATGTTATAATTGATTAAGTATGATATTTAACTAGTAATTAAATTTATTAATGTTTATCAATTTATCATATATAATTAATTAATTACTAATTTATTATAGATATACTTAGAACTTGATAATTGAAGTAAATAACTAAATATATTATTACTCAATCAAATATACTATTTTATTCAAAAATAATTCTTTTAATAACATTAAAAATGTAAAACACTTTTAATTGGATCATAATTCCAATTATTCACTTAATTGATCAAAACTTTAATATTAATGTATTATAATATATTAAAGCTTTTAATATGGTGTAATTTATATGTAATAAGTATAATTGTATTCGTATATTTATTTAATTAGGTTATTCTAAAAATTTAACTTTTTCTATTTTAAATTTTTTTATATGTAAAATAATAGAAACTCCCCCATTATTTACATTTCACAAATATTTCATTATAGTTCAGGTTCCAAAATAGGTTCTAAACAGGTTCTAAAAAAAAGGTTCCAAAACAGGTTCCAAACAGGTTCCAAAACAGGTTTCAAAGCAGGTTCCAAATAGGTTCCAAAACAGGTTCCAAACAGGTTCCAAAACAGGTTCCAAAATAGGTTCCAAACCGGGTACCCCCTACAGGTTCCAAACAGGGTACCCTTTTTACAGGTTCCGGTTCTGGTTCCGGTTCCGGTTCCTCCACATGTAAGAACCGGAACCGGAATCGCACAGTAGCGGTTCCAAAAAATTGGAACCGGAACCTACCCGTACAGTGCAGGTTCTGGGTAGGTTCTGGTTCCGGTTCCGGTTCTTACCCCCGGTTTCGGTTCTACCCACTACCCGTGCTCACCCCTCCTTATCACAATATGTAATATTTCTAATTTCTTCAGTAAATTTTGTGGTTGCAGCTGCAGATTTGTCAGACTCAGGCCATGGAACTAATAGAGATATCCAACTACCAGTTGCAATAGAAGTCACTAAGTTTACAAACTGAGTGAAAATTGCATTGATAGCAACAAGAATTGGTGACTTTGCACATTCTTTCCGATCATAGTAAGCTGAACAATCTTTCAAGATTTCATTTCCAGATTCTTTTGTTTTCCAAAAACAAAGAAAACAGAAAGCACAATCGTCATGTAACATTTTTGCAGCAAAATGTTTTCTTTATTATTGTACATTAATAAATAGAACGCAACATCAATATTAATTTTTGAATAATTTTTAATAACCCCCAACATTTCTAATTTAGCTAAAACGCCCTCGCTTATATAAAACTTTAATTTATAACAAAATCACCCCCCGCCACTCCAAGCCATTATCCATCCCGCCATTTGCCATCGGAAGTTGTTTGTAGTCATCGTGAGTAGTTGAGAGACACTGAGAGACTTCAATATGGTCGTTTCAAGCCATATTGATGGTCGAAAATGCCATATCAGAGTATGTTTGACCATTAACAGCCATATCTATTTTGACCATAATAGATCTAGCTATTAACGGCCATATCTCATCCAAATATGGCTGATAAAGCCCATGGATCTGGCCAAAATAGATTTGGCCATTTCTGACTAGATCTACTCAAATATGGTCATTTTCGGCCATCAATATAGCTAGAAACAACCATATTGTAGCCTCCCAGTGACAATGGGCTACTCATGGTGATTTCGAACTTCTTTCGGCACTTCCAACGACGGCTGACGATGGTTTGGTTGGTGACAGGCTACGGCAAGTGGGTAAGGGTGGTGGCTTGGTTGGGCTGCAAATTGTTTTGAATTCAAGGGTAATTTTGTCCAAAAAGTTAATTAATTAGGGTGAAATAGTAAAAGTCAGATTCATGTAAATTAATTTAAAAATAAAGATATTATTGTCCTAATTTTTTTTTAATAAGGGATAGAATTGCAACAAAAATAAGATTACCTTGGTAGTCTCATAAGACCTAAGAAAATGGAAGTTATCAGATTACCTCCAATATTACCAACAATAATAACTATTGGTATTGGAAGATTACTGAAATTTTATATTACTTGATTATTACTTGACAACCAAACGTGATAATCAAGTAATATAAGATGACATAACCTCAATAATCTTACATAACCCCCAACCAAATGCCTCCTAAAGATTATTAGAAATGTTTAAGAAAATGTGTTTGGTTATGTTGGAATAAATTGATAGGTATGTTATATTGGTTAGGTTGGAAGATACAGGCAATGTTGACCAACAAGGTGTATGACAAACATCAAGTTTTGAAAAACGTCCAAACTTTTGCCTCTGCTGCAAGTAGTAATCAATCCTGCGACGTCAGGACAAATTATATTGACATCTGTGCATATGACCGTAATTTGTTCATACAATAAAAGAACGATGTCGAATCTACATAACAATATCAATTGGTGAAATCCCAACAAATTATTTCCAATAATCCAATAATTTTTTACTCCCAAAATTTATCCATTACATACAGCATGCATGTTACATACATAACATATGAACCTACACAATATTTTGATGCATATGCTAAACATTGTAAGCAACATAGCACATGCTGTAACCGTTAAACCCCACAAACAAATCCACAGATCCAAGTAACTCATGTGCAGATATCAGTTTGAGTCAACCAATTATAAAATGCATTATTGAAGTCCAAATTAAAAGGATTAATGACAAGAAAAAACAGTGCTAAAACAAATTATTTCCAATAAAATAAAAATGAGGAAAATTGCGTCTCAGGTGTCTTGAAAACAAATAGGTCACGGAAGCTCACAAACTGGATTTGAGTACTTTGCGGATATCTTTCCCTTCCCTATATATTTTCGACAAATAAACATCAAACACAATCACAAATTCATGCGCAGATGTTTTGTACACGAGATTTAAAAACCTGCTAAACAAAAAAAAAAAAAAAAAAAAAAAAATCAAAAACACCTTTCCCTATGACAAATTTGCGATGTTGGTGGGTTCACAGTGTTGGTTTATGACGATCAATGACGTCGGGGCTTCACATTGGACAGATCTGTGACGACGATGGGTTCACGGTGGTCTTTGTGACGATCGGTGACGTCGGGGCTTCACATGGGACAGATATGCGAGGATGTAGGTTCACGATGGTGGGTTTCTAACGATCGGTGACGTCAAGGCTTCACGTGGGATAGATATGCAATGTCGATGGGTTTGTGATGATCAGCGACGTTGAGTCTTCACAATGACAGATCTGAGACGTCGGTGGGTTCACGGTGGTAGGGTTTGTGATGATCGACTTCAGATTGTGGCAAATCAACGACGGGAAGTCACCGTGAACAGTTTGTGATTCGTGGTGTTGTTTTGTGATTATGGTGATGTAGTAGATGATAGTTTGATTTTGGTCATGTTTGTGTTGTGATGATGGCGGTAGATGGTGATGCGTGGTTGCGGTGGGGTGGTAATGCGATGATGGCAGAAGATGTTGATGGGTGGTGGCCGTGCGGTTCTGTTGTGATGATGGTGGAAGATTGATTGGGTGGTGCTGTGGGGTGGTTTTCTGATTCAGGTGGCTGGTCGTTTGGCCAATGTGCTTTGTTTTGTATTTGCAGGTGGAGGATTATGTTGGAAGGGTAGCAAGATGGTTTGTCACGGTGGTGAAGCACTGATGCAATGAACAAAACTGAGAAAGTGAAATAAACTGAGAAAGAGAAATAAAAGCAGGACTGCAAACTGTCTTCAATAGTCAAAAAACTATCAGGATACCTGTCAGGATTGTATTTTCAAGGTTGTATTGTCTGAATAATAAGCCAAACGGTATTTATAAAATCGGGTTAAGAATATGGGTACAAATAATAAGCCAAACGGAGCCATATATATTTCAAAAAAAAAAAAAAAAATAGGCCACCGACCTATGGACCCCACTACTATTACTGTTTGAAATTACATTATTACCCTTAATTCATGCCTTTTAAGGCAACTCAAACTCATGGTTTCAGAAACTAACAATGTCACTCTCGTCTTTCTTTTGCTACTTAAATAGACATATTTCCAACAATTAGAAGTTATATATAGTGTCGGTTTCTAAGATCGGGCGAAGAGATTGTCCTGGATTGTCAACCCGAAGCAAAATCAAGGGCAGTTTCACCCTCTTGATTTCAGAAATTAACATTGTCACCTTTGATTTCAAGAATGAACGTCATTCATCCCATGATTAATTTTAACACTTAAGACTTTAAAAGTCAAAATTACATTATTAATTTCTAAAAACCCAAGGGTTAAAGTTACTCATTTCATTATCGTTAGTAAGGTCTGCTGGTTTCCTAAAAATTGAAGAGTATGGCATGCAACGTTTCAATCAAACCTACTAAAGTATATAATCACCATTAAAAATTTTAGAAAACAAATGATGCCACTGAAACATTTAGGTCTACACATGCACTGTAAAAGGACTGCAGGATCCACTAATTAAGTAAAACACAGTCAGGCAACTAGGTTTTGGACAAGCTCCGTAAAAGAAAGTTAATCTTTATATGATGAAGATCTAGCTAGCATGCTTTGAGTAAAACCTTTGATAAACCAGCTTTAAATGAAACAAAAATTTATATTTTCTCAAAGATTATCTTAAAATTTCCTTCAGATTAAACAGCAAATGACAGATAGACGTGTAATTGAGCTGAGCTGGGTATTGGACAGCTCGAGCTCGGCTCAGGCACAATAGTGTTGAGCTTCAGCTCGACAGATAAAGGTGAGCTAGAGCTCGGCTCAGGCTCGGCCTACCCGAGCTCAAGCTGCTTAGCCTCAAGCTGGTGTTGTTCGATCCAATCCCAAGCCCGAGTCGAGGTCGAGGTCGAATAAGCAGGTTTGATGCACAGTCTGCAGCACTCTCTTTAATATAAGGCAACATTGTGTGCAGAACTCATGATCACAACCTGCGTTATAGCATTATGTATCATTGTCTCGGCTATGGAAGGATTTGACCTTGAATCAGGAAAAATAAACAATCCTAATTTACAAAGAGATCAGAGATAACAACTTCTGAATTCAATTGTCAGATAACAGAGATTGAAAAACAGGTCAAAGATAACATCATGATGTCGAAAATAATACATGTCACTAGACAGTTAAAACCTTCTGTTTTCCTTTTTCTTCGGAGTTGATCATTGTAATTTTGATCAACCATATCTATGTTGCTGCTTTAAAATTTCCATAAGATTTACACAAATCTAATCTGAACCACCACCAGCATCGCCAATTCTAATGTTACCACCGATTAGAGCCATCAATAATATCACGGACATCACCAAAAACCAGAACTGCTACTTAAATAACTCACCACCACAACCATTATACTGCCTTTGACAAAACTAGAACAACACACGCCACCATTATCGTGTTCATAGTTGTTTGACTTCCACAACACGAGCAATTAATTCACTTCCATCACTCACTACCATGTTATCGAAGTTCAAACTTTTGTGCTTGCATTTGTGCATATGAGAGACCCAAAACCACTTTATTCTCCCCAACTCCTTCATCAGCTGAGAATGATTGGATGCCCAGTCTGCAGTATTCTCTTTATTATATCCATCCCAAAAGCAGAATCCGATGAACTGTCGAGGAGTAATTTCTAATAAGACAAAGGCAACACATGCATCAACAACAATTTATCTTGCTACCTCAATTCAATGAGGAGATCGGATTATTCGGTTGATGGCATGAATAAAGAAAGCAGTAAAACAGATCACTATCATTTGCATTATACACTATATTCGTTCATTTGCCTTTTTTCTTAAAAAAAATACACAAAATTTCAGCTAACTTATTACTATGGTTGGGGAAAGGTTCCACATCTAATCAGAAGGTTGTGAATTAATATTTCTTAATCATATGCAACCAATCAACTGTGTTAAGAGTTAGACTTACTAGTTATATGCAAATAGCGAAAAGCCAATTATAAGAAAAGAAGATAACAAAATTAAACCAAAGAAGATGCATTTATATTAAAAGATGATCTAGGATTACCATTTACTAAGAGTTTAAATATAAACAGTATGTCAAATATGCTTACATGCAACTTGTAATAACAAATCATATACCTTTTGTAGCTTCACTTCTTCACAAAACCCACAGATTAAGATGGAATATGTCACAACGTCTAGCATTAAGCCCTTTTGAGGCAACTTGTGAAATATCTCCAAAGCAATTTCGATCATTCCATTTCTACACAACCCATCAATGAGGCTGGCAATTTTAAACTAGTAGTTCTCCAAGTACAAAACAATTTTGCTACCTCCAGAACACCATTCTTACATATCCCATCAACCAAAATATTATATGCAACCGAATCAGGTGCGACACTATAAAGTTTTATCTCATCAAATAGTTTCCGTGCATCTCCAACTTTATTTGATAGAAAAAGACTGGTTAAAGAAGTGTCATATGTAAACACTGTTTGTTTAATTCCCTTTGAAATCATTCCCTTGTAAAGACTGATAGCATTCTCTAATTTCCAAACCTCTTTGAATAATCAATTCCAACAACCAATTAGCTTCCTCCATCTTCCCCTCCTTGCAAAACCCACTTACCATTGTATTATACGTCAGTAAATTAGGCTGCAAACCTTGATTTGCCATCTCAAGAAACAAGCCTTTAGACTCCTCCAAATTTCCCACAAAACAGCAACCGTAAATTAGAGAGTTAAAAACACCCACATCTGGCTTAATTCTCTTCCCCTTCATTTCCGAAAACAATTCTTTTGCCTTATCAACCAACCCATCTTTGCAAAGACCATCTATAATACTACCATAAGAAACAATATCAGGCTTACAGATAACACCCCCTTCACCATTACCAGCAACCATTTCTTCATGCAATCTAAGCGCAACACTAGTGTTCCCTGTCTGACACAACCCCTTAATCAATGTCCAATATGTAATCGCATCAGGCCTGACCCCAAACACAGCCATTTTCTTGAACAACTCCATAGCCTCCAAACTCCTATTCTCTAAACACAGACCTTTAATCAAAGAAGTGAAAGTCACAACATTTGGTCTTAAACCCCGCCTCAAAATCCTCCCAAAAACAACAAAACCATCAGGCTTACAACCCTTACTCTCCAAAGAGATTAGAAGCTCCTTTGCATCATTAAATCTATGCAGCAAGCAATAACCATCAATCAAAGTGTTATAAGAAACTATGTCTGGTTGCAACCCTCTTTGAATCATTAATTCTAACAATCCATCAGCTTCCTCCATCTTCCCCTCCTTGCAAAGCCCACTTATCATTATATTATACGTCACCACATCAGGCTGTAAACCTCTTTGAATCATCAATTCGAACAATCCATTAGCTTCCTCCATCTTCCCCTCCTTGCAAAGCCCACTTATCATTGTAGTAAACGTCACCACATTAGGCTGCAAACCTCTTTGAATCATTAATTCTAACAATCCATTAGCTTCCTCCATATTCCCCTCCTTGCAAAGCCCATTTATCATTGTACTAAACGTCACCACATTAGGCTGAAAACCTTGATCCACCATCTCTTCGTGTATCCTAAGTGCAATAGTGATATTACCTGTTCTACACAACCCGTTAATCAAAGTCCGATATGTAATCACGTTAGGCCTAACCCCAAACACAACCGTTTTCTTCAGAAACTCCATAGCTTCCGTACCCCTACTCTCTAAACACAAACCTTTAATCAAAGAATTAAAAGTCACAGCGTCTGGGTTAAAACCCCGCCTCAAAATCCTCCCAAAAACAACAAAACCATCACAAACTCGACCCACATTACAAAAGCAATTAATCAAAATATTCAAAGTATAAAGATCTGGCAACAACCCCATCGAACCCACTCGCTTGTAAAGCAAAATAACATCTTCATAAAACTTTTTCTTAGCCAGTGCTCCAAACAACCGGTTGAATGATGAAATTGGTGGTTTGGGTTGCATATGAATCATGTATTCAAAGAAATATCGATAATCATCAAGAGTGACATTACCTTCTTTACAATCATTTTGGAGGAATTTCTCAAGCTGGGTTACTTTAAGTGCTAAATCTTGTGGTATGGTTGTAGTAACTTTACCTGGTTTTGTGAATGAAGAAGGAGAAGAAGAAAAACGACGAATCAAGCTTTTGAGCACCATTTCAGTAGCGCCGTTTGTGCCTTGTGGATTATCTGGGGTTCAAACTTCAAACTGGCTTAAGTCTTTTAAGGTAGGGTTTGCTAAACATTCATCTTTCCTCTTTATATATTTTTTATTTACTTTTTTATCTTAATTAAAATTGATAATAGAAAATGAGTAATGCTGTCCTGATTGACGAAACTTACTAACTATCTCATCTGCCACATCATCAACTTGCCACATCACTTCCCCAAACCTTAAAAAAAAAAAAAAAAAAAAAAACTGCGTCTTCAAAACGACGACCACCTCCACCACGCCTTTCACAAGGGTATATTTTTTTTTTTTTGTTTTTTTTTTTGTTTGGTGTTCTGCTGATTTCTATTATCAAAAGTTGATTAATTTGTGTTATGCGTATCTATTGGGTGATGGGATCTACACTGTGGATGGAGAAAAGTCGCGACATCCAAAGAAAATAGCAAGTTATGAATTCTCCACCAAGATCCCGACGGATTTCAGCACTGGAGTCTTTAAAGCCACTACTGTAGAGCTGGCTGGCAATAATGGCGCTCACAAGTGCTTCAACATAATCCTCTTTTAAAATGTACCTAACATTCTTCTTCTAATTTTTTCTTCTGAAGTTATTTTTCTTAATGACTGTTTTTGGCATCCTTTACTCGTTGTTTTTTAGGATAATTCTTGAACGATTAGAAAGACAAGACATTGGGATAATTCTTGAATGATTAGAAAAATAAGACATAGGGTTATAACTTTTATTTTTTGGTCGTGATCCAGTTTAACTTAGAAATTGGTTAAAAATTGAGTCGAAAGTTACTTTATTGCATGGAAGACAAACAGATTTGTTATCATGTATTTTTAATTCAAGTGTGGTTTTTTATCGTAATACCTTCATGACTTTAATACCAACAAGAGGGGTCCTTAGCAATAGGGGAGGAGGCTAGGGTTTTGAAAAAAAAAAAAAAAAAAAAAAAAAGGACATCAAAGAGGAGGAGGAGATCAAAGGAAAGAGGCTAGCACATTCATTCGGGAGAAGTTGGCGAGATACTTTTCCAGAGATCAATTCTTCAAGATTTCAGTTTTTGTTTTCTATTACTTTACTTTTTTGGAATTGTTATGATGATGAGTTCAAAACTAATGTTGATTGTTATCACTTTGATTATGGAGAAGATTGTTATTGTTAAGGGGTAGATTCTACTGAACCATGTTGACTTGATTTTCAATTTTATTAAAGCATTCAGGAATTTGTTGTTTTACAAGAATCTATGTGATTTGCTTAATGCTTTTGGATATGATGTTTCTTTAATTATTTAGGGCTCTTATTGAATGATGAACCAGGTGGTGAAGTTTGATTAGAAATCTTTTGATTAGGGTTTCATTGTATTCAACTGTTTATTTGATGTGATGATAAACCGGGCGGTGAAATCACTTTAGGTCATTAAAATAGCATAGATCATAGATTGAATAGGATACTTGGGAGAGTCTTATGAGGTTTATGTGGCTAGTTTAAGTTTTAAGTGGGAGCGGAACCTAACGATTAATAAATTTCACAATTGTGTTAAGTTGAGGGATTTAGTCATCTTTAGATCAATAAATTTCCTGAATATGATTTTTATAGCATGTCTGTCAACATTGGTTTAGGTAGAATCGAAACCCTTAACATTTTTATCATATAGTGATATTTGTCTTTGTTATTTAATTGTCTTAATTTCTAGCAACTCTTGTTTTTATTTTAAATTCACATCATCAATTTCGTTATCTCAAATAACAATTAAGATTAGTCAATGTATTTGTTTGTTTACCATTCAGTCCTTATGGGATTCGACACTTTATTCATCACTTTATTACTTGTTGATTAGTGCACTTGCTAGTGTACGAAATAGTCACAACACTCCCGCCATTAACGCATCCCTCCCCTGGTTGTTGTTTCTTCTAAGCTTTGTCTACGTCTTCTTCTTCTTCTGCATCTTCTTCTTCGTCTACATCTTCTCTTCCTTCTTCCTGTACATCTTCTTCTTCCCGCCATTAACATCATCTTTTTCCTCCACCATTAGCATCTTCTCCACCACAAATCCTCCTCTTCCTCCTCCTGGCATTTTGTCCAGGTATGGGTTGTATTTGATGTAATGCAAGTTGAAAGGAATGAAATTTGTTGAATATTTTCTTACATTGTGGGTAGCTAGGGGTGGTAGCACCGATTGTAGGTGGAGATGACTGAAAATATGTTTTGGATATGATAGATCACTTAAACTATCTGGTATATCTGGTATAATGCAGCAGATCGTAGATCGCTTAAGCGATCAGGTATATTACAGAAGATCGCTTAAGCGATCTGCTACAAGTTTGGTATATGGGAGCATATCACTTAAGTGATCAAGTAAATGGCAGAAGATCGCTTAAGCGATCTGCTATAAGTTTGGTGTATGGCAACAGATCGAAGCGATCTGGTATAAATAAGCCTGATTGCTTAAGCGATCTCCTACCATTTACTTGATCGATTAAGTGATATACCAGATCACTTAAGTGATACGCTAGATCGTTCAAGCGACTCTACAGATATTTTTTAAAATCTTTCAACCCTTAATACATTAGTTAATAATATATTTTTTTCTTGCATTATAGGTACTTGGCTATTATTAGACATGGGACAAGTTATTTTGGGTGTTGAATATTTTGGTGAGTGGGTGGAGGACGAAAGTTGCCGGAAGTGGATTGGGAAGAGCAAAGAAGTTATACCAATTGCTATGAGCACAGAGGTTAGTTTTGATGAGTTGATTGATGAAATAATTAGAAGAGGTGATTTGAGTTGCTCATGTAGTGATATAGTTGTGAAGTATGTTTTAAGCAGAGTTCCTCAACATTATAAGGTACCTCTTGCTATATTAAAGTCGGATGAAGGTGTGAAGTTATATATGATTGATATGGGCGATAATGGTTCGAGGCCGATTTTAAGGGTTTCGATTGTAGATAAACCATTGAAAGTTGGTTCAAAGGAAGGGGATAACGAGGAAGTTGGCAGAGAGAATGCTTGTTTTAATTTGAACTATGAGGGCATTGATTTCTTAGTTGAAAAATCAAAAGTAGACGGTAATTTGGGTGGTGAGGCGAACACTGTAGAAGAGGTTGTTCACGTGCGAAAAAATGAAAATGTTGAGGAAGAGGACCCTATACATGGTCCCGCAAATGTAGAGATTCCTTTAAATACAGATTATGCAGAAGGTATAGTTTGTGAGGAAGAGAACATTATGGTCCTTTATGCAGGTTCAGAGAGGGCAATTGCAGGTAGTAATGAATCAGCTCATGTTTTTACGGATGGATCAGAGTTGTGCATAGGGTATTTATTTGACAACAAACAGGAAGTGGTGAGGAAGCTAAAACTTGTTGCCATAAGAGGTAATTTTGAGTTCATCACCAAAAAGTCTAATTCATCGGTTGTGACGGTTGCATGTCATGACCGAAAGTGCAAGTGACGAGTTTATTGTAGAAGGTTGGCAGAGTCCAAAAAAATTATTGTTAACATATATACCTGAGAGCACACATGTGGTTTGGGACATATTTCAGGTGACCATCAACAAGCCTCTGCTAATGTTATTGGACAATTTGTCAAAAGTTAGTTCGTTGAAGGGAAACGTCCATGTCCTAAAGACATTCAGAGACTTGTGTACACAGAGTTGGGATGTGTTGTTAGCTACTAGAAATGCTGGAAAGGGAGACAACATGCATAAGATTTTGTGAGGGGTGCGCTGGAGCATGGGTACATAGTATTAGAAGCGTACCGTTATATGCTTGAGTTGACAAACCAAGGTAGCAAGACGGCTTTGAAGTGGGACAAGAATACAAGGTTTAAATATTTTTTTGTTGCTTACGGTTCTGCTATAAGGGGTTTTGTAAACATGAGAAAGGTGTTGGCTATTGATGGTTGCTTTTCGACAGGAAAGTATGGAGGTACATTATTGGTGGCCACTGCATGGGACAGCGAGAATCACACATATCCCGTTGCATGGTGTGTGGTTGACTCTGAGAATGAAAAGTCGTGGACTTGGTTTTTTCAGCAATTACGTACGATAGTGCCTGACAATGACAAGTTTTGCATAATATATGATAGGCACAACTCCATAAAGAAAGGGATTGCCACTATTTACCCTCAAGCACATTACGGATTCTGTATGAGGCACCTTGGTGAGAACATAAAACAAAAGTTTATGTGTGCTAGCCTCCTTCAAACATA